CCCGCACTTCACTCAGAGTCTCAGAGCAGCTTACAATCTCCTTCCCTTCCTCTCCCCACAACAGACACCCTGTGAGGTAGGTGGGGCTGAGAGAGCTCTGAGAGAACTGCTACTGAGAGAACAGCTCTAAGAGAACTGTGACTGATCTAAGGACACCCAGTTGGCTGCATGTGGGGAAGTGGGGAATCAAACCTGGTTCTCCAGATTAGAGTCTGCCACTATTAACTGGCTCTTGGCCTGCTCTGATGGACTCCATACCTTGCTCCCCTGAGTTTTATCTTCCCCCTTCCCCCTTCCACTGGCCTGGTCAGGCCATGTCAAGGAAGCTTTTCCTGGCAACTCCAGAAATTTCTTCCTGAAGACTTTCTAGTATTAATTCCTCCCTGTTTTCTGCCTGGAGAAGTGGGGGAGACCTTGATCATCCCATTGGCTAGACCTATTAGCATTTGTATGAAGTTGGGCTGAGGTAAGGCTGGAAAACAATTGAACTGACTTCCCCCTCCTGGCCTGTTCTCTGCCCAGAGAAGGGAAAAAACTTTTAAAACCCAGAGCAAAGGTTTTGCTCATTTCATCCGAAGGAAAAAATGCATTTCTTCACACATTTTGAATGATCAGTTGAATTAGCATTTGCCAAAGAAAGACCCAATCAGCATTTCTCATAACCTGGTCAGACTGTTCCAATAAAATAATCTGAAGTGGCCAGCAGTGATATGGAATGGATTTTTTTTACATGTATACTCAGTGTGAGGGTTCAAGTATCACAATAGGATCTGGCAGACCCAGGTTCCAATCTGCACTCTGCCACAGAAGCTTGCTGGGTGAAACTCTTCCTCAGCCTGAGGAGGGAATGCTGTTCTAAGCCGCTTTGGGCCCCTATTGAAGAGCACCTGACACACACAGAGAGAGGGGAGGGGAAACAAAGAGAGGGAGGGATTAATCTAAGCAAATGCATTTTAAGTAATGCAAACGTTTGTTACAGTTAGGAGTGATATTAAGGGAATATCAGTGAGTATCTGACAACTAAGAACACACTTTTAAAAACAAACAAAATATATTTTTCTAGACACATACAAGTAACTATGACCTTAGGTGTTGTGAATGCTGGTGGACTAATTGGATTATACATGTTTATGTATTTTCTCATAGCTAAAATAGCAAGAAGAGACAATATGAATCTTCAGTTACTCAAGTTTCTAACAAATAAATAATTGGGGACTGAGCATTTCTTCTGAAGTATCCAGGACTGGTAACCTTTCCAGGCATTGCTAGAACCCAAACCTTGCAATAGTCTCTGCCTGGAGTTTTTGTGTGACAAAATGGCACAGTACAATATTATCTGGACTTGGTTCGATCTCTGATTTCAGATATTGTTGTGTTTTACAAACTAGTGCACAACTGGTTTATTCCAACATGGCATGTAGTATATACATTTAATATCAGTTGCATGTCAAGTAAAACTGTAGAATTTCCAGAGTGAACAGAATTGTACATGACTTCATGACTTCTTAGGCTGTGGTCACACACACTAAATAATCCACTTTCAATGCACTTTCAAATTGGATTTTGCCAGTTCACACAGTAAAACTCCAGTTGGAAAGTGCATTGAAAGTGCATTGAAAGTGGATTATTTAGTGTGTGTGACCGCAGCCTCAGAGAGAGAGAGAGAAAGAGAGATTTTAACAAATTGTGCAGGAAATTTGACATAGCAGTTTTTCAGGTATTTTTCAAACTGACGCCTCAAACTAAAGTTAATCAGTAAACTATATAACCTCTAGCCTAGTGTTTCCTTGGTGAGTCTTAAAGGAAGTTTTGATTTTCACTTCTGAGTAAAGTATTGGGAAGTTAAGAAAGCCGGAGAGATCCACACTATAAAAGAAGTGTTTTTTTCCTGAAGTTATCACATAAATTGTCAGGCTTAAACCTTCTTAAGGTAAGATACCTTCCCAGCTCACCTGTAGTTTGTAGCCTTAAATACTAGATAAGACTATTTGAACCTGTATCTAGAAACTGGGGCTAATAACCAAGCTGATTTCCTCATGCTGTGTGGCACAGTTAACATGCCTATGCTGTTTTCACTTCATTTATTAAGTATGTTCTTCGCCTTAAACTGAAATTTCTAGTGTAGGTTATTTTGATTCTTCTTGCTTGGTAATTGTGAATGAGAATGCTTATGTTATTTGAAGGGTGAGCTGACTTCAGTCTTGTGTGGTCTACTTTTTAAAAAAACTAGAATTCCTGTGATCCTCTGGTGCAGGGGTGGCCAAACTGCAGCTCCCAGCAGGGCAGCTGGGGATGCAAATGGGAGGTATGCCTCCCTGATCTGTCTTCTCTTCCCAGGCAGCATTCCCCTCCTTGAGTAGGCTTGAGGTGTGGGGGGGAGCAGAGAAAGAAAGCAACTTAAACTTAAATGTGTTATCAAAGCCCCTCCCCCTGCCAGACAGCTTGGAGAAGGCATCTGTCTCTTTAAATCTCTTCTCCAAGCCAAGCCGGCTGGCGTAAGGGTGGGTTTGGAGAACACATTTCAAGTTGCTTTCCTTCTACCTCACACTTCCTCCCTCTCTCCCTCCCCATTTATTTGCTTTCTTTCTACCTCTCTCTCTCTCTTTCTCTCTCTCTTTTTCCCTCCCTCCCCCATTTATTTTTTCTCTCTCTCTCTTTCTCTCTCGCTCTCTCCCTTCCTCCTTCCTTCCTCCCTCCCTCCCTCTATCTCTCCCTTCCTCCTTCCTCCCTCCTTCCCTCCCTCTCTCTCTCTCTTCCTTCCTCCCCTCCCCATCTATTTGCTTTCTATGGCTGCGATCAAATGCACTAAATAATCCACTTTCAATCCACTTCCAATGCACTTTCCAACTGGATTTTGCCAGTTCACACAGTAAAATCTAGTTGGAAAGTGCACTGAAAGTGGACTGAAAGTGAATTGAAAGTGAATTATGTAGTGTGTGTGTGTGTGACCGCAGCATTTGTTTCTGTTTCTCACTCCTTTTTTCTTTCCATCTCTTTCATTCTTTCCACCTTTCTCTTTCTCTCTTCCTTCCATACTTATGCGTGACTATAGTTTGGGCCTCCGCTGTGGTAGCGTCCACCGGCAGTTGCTGGTAGGCCTGCGCCAAGTCTAGTTTGCCGAAGATACAGGCCCCTGCCAGTGTGGCTAGCACGTGGCTGACCACCGGTACCGGGTACGCGTGGTCTTGAAGTGCCTTGTTCAAAGTGCACTTATAGTCCGCACAGATCTGCACATCCCCGTTAGGCTTGACGGGCGTGACTATAGGTGTCTCCCAGCGGGCGGACGCCACCGGTTCCAGAACTCCTTGAGCGACCAACCGGTCCAGTTCCGCCTCGATCTTGGGCCGCATCGTAATGGGTGGGTGTCTGGCTCGCATCCTGATGGGGCGGACCGCGGGATCCAGGTCTAGGGAGATGGGTGGTCCCGTGAATCTGCCGAGGGACCCATCGAAAACCTGCGGAAACTCGTTGCAAACGTCTGCGAAATCCACTCTCTGTAACTGGTGGAGCCCCCCGATGGTTAAGCCCAGTGGCCCGAACCAGGACATCCCCAGGAGGCTGGAAAGCCGGCCGCCCACCACCAGTATGTCCAGGCACCCCTTGAAGCCCTGGAACTCCACCTTGAACTTGCCCCAGCCCCGCACAACCACCGGATTCTTATTGAAATCCTGTAATTTAAAGTGTGGTTTGCGCAGAGGGGGCCTCCCCTTGGGACACACTTTCCGCAGTGTGTCCTCCGAGATTATAGTAAACTCGGAGCCCGTATCTATCTCCATGCTACAGGGGGACCCCTCTATCCGGACCGAAACGTGGACTTTGTTCCGGCCGTTGCGGGGCATGTCACCTACCTGGGGCTGGGGCTGGTGGTCGATGGCATGAAGGTCGAGCGAGTGCAGGTCCATGGTGTGGATCGGCTCCATCTGGTGGGTGGACTTCCGGGGCTGCTGACGGCGGCTGCGGCAGACCTTCACGATGTGGCCCTGCTTGTTGCAGGACCTGCAGACGGCATCCCGGAAACGGCAGGTCCGGCGCTCATGCGGCTCTCCGCAGCTGGCACATGGTGGGGCTGCGTCGTACAATCTCGTGGTTCGGGGGCCTCTCGAGTTGGGCGGTTGCGATGTCTTACGGTGGACTTGCAGTACCTCGTCCTCCTCGGAGTCGGCCGACTCCACCGCGGTTTGGGTGAGATGGATCTGGTGTCCGCTGCGGCCTGGATGCAACTTTTTGAAAGCTGCCGCGTCCTGTAAGGCCTGGGTCAGCGTGAGGTCATCTAGTCTGATCAGACGCCTCCTCAATTTTGCCTCTCGAAGGCCCATCAAGAACTGATTAAGCACCGTGTCTTCCAGGCTGGGGAAAGCACACTGCGTGGCGGCCTTTCGAAGGCTGGCCAGGAACTCGGCTGCCTTCTCCTCCGGGCCTTGGACTTTCGCGAAAAAGTCCATTCGCTCCGCAAACTTTGTGGGCTTCGGAGTGAGGTGAGCGGTGAGGGCCGCGATGAAGTCATCAAAACTCTCCTCTTCTGAGATTAGGTCCTGCAGGAGGAGGAGGGTATCCATCCCACAAAGGCGTATGAGATGTGCCCTCTTCATACCTGTGTCGGTGACCCGTAAGCATGCGAGGTAGTTCTTCAGAATCATCACCCATGTTGTCCATCGCTCGGGATGTGCCAGGTTGAAGTGAGCAATGCCCTCGTGGGAGGTCCCGGCTGGTGCGGGCGGCTGCTGCGGCGCCCGAGGCCAAGGAAGTCGAGGAAGAGGATGAAGTGGAGGATGTGCCTGGCTCCGACATTTTGGCACATGTGCTTGTCCGCGGCTACGCTTGGTGAGGCGCGGTGCCGCTGGTGAGGCGAGCTGACGAGGCGAGGCGAGGTGAGTGGAGCTTCTCAGTGATTAGATGAGGCGAGCGGCGGAGCTAGCCGAGGCAAGGCGAAACAGGGAGCCGCGGGGCGAGACTTGCCGAGGTGATAGGTAGCGAGGTGCTTGCGATGCGATGAGCGCGGCATGGCTGGGCGAGATGAGACGAGGCGCTGCTGGGTGCAGCGAGGCCGGCGAGGTGAGCGGAGCGAGGCGCGATGCGGTTGAGCGGTGATCCCCGAGCGGCGTCGGCTGCGGTCTAGATCGAGCTCGGTGCGTGCTTGATCTCCTCCGGGTCTGTTCAGGAAGGGTAGAATCCCATCCTCGTCGCCAGTGAAAAGTACTCAGAAACGTGGAGTGATTTCAGCAAGAGTACTTTATTTAATCAGGAACAAGACAAAGTAAACAGGCTCGCAGGCCGGTTTATATGCACTGGAAAACCCACCACCAAAACACACACCCTGCTTCCTACTGGCTATTTACAGTAGCCGAGAGTCCCATAGGCTCTCGGCAGTGGACCTGGCCCTCTGATTGGTGCGGGCTAGGATCCGCTTGGCTATTGTTCTCATGGTGTGAAGCTTCAGGCTTTTGCATGACCGCATGGCCCAACGGTCGCGCACGTGGTCATGGCGAGTACATTACAAAACTCCTCCTACCTGTTCCTCCCCCCAGCCCCACCCATTAAAGCCATGATAGCTAAATGGAATCTCCATGGTCAGAGACAATGTATCTTCATATATCAGATGCTGGAGACAAAAACAACAACAACAACAAAACCCAGGAGATTTCTATTGTGCTCCTACCCTGTTTGTGCACTTCCTAAAAACATTTGGCTAGCCACTGTTTAAAAGAGAATACTGGACCACATGCAGACAAATGACTCTCTCAAGGACATGAACTGAGTACAAGGGAGAGGTAGGGTCTGAAGCTCAAACACCAGACCACTCCTTTGGGCCCATGTTTGCTGCTGTGACACAACATCCATTTTAGAAAAGGAAGTGAAAGATTCTGGGAGAGAAGTGAGTTGCCTGAGACCACAAGTTGAGCACAAAAGAATGGTGGGGTCTGAGAACCTAACCCCCAACCCTCAAAATAATTTCTTTTTCCAGAGATGTCCTGACTCTACATTTGCTGAATTGCTCTCTCTCCCCCCACCTCAACATTTCTGTGTTTGCAGAGACAAAAAAAAAGTAAGCTTCATAAAGCAATACTGAACATACTGCTTGTTCCACCATGTATAATTAACTTATGGAATTTACTGTCACAAGGCACGACGGACCAAAACTGAAGAAAGAAGGAAGTGGTAGTAATAGTCTCTTGAGGGGATAGGATGAGTTGTAGCATTTCAGATTTCAGGTGGGGGAATCACATATTGCTTCCTTCCCGTGAGCATAGTCATGCTAGGTTTTGCTTTTTATCATTGTTCTTTTTAATTCGCAAGAAAGAGGGTGTTAGTGGGGGGCAGTGAAAAATGGCATCTCTCATCCACAGTGTGAAGTTGTATGGTCCACTCTGCCACTTAAGATTTTAACATATCATTCTGCTGTGTATGTAGATCAGCCTTAGATGACTTTTTAAAAGACATGCCTATCAATAACTGTTACCCATGACTGCTAAACAGAAGCTCATGTTCAGAGGTACTATCCTGGGAAGTTAAGAACATAAGAGAAGCCAATGTTGGATCAGGCCAATGGCCCATCTAGTCCAACTCTGTCACACAGTGGCCAAAAATACCAGGTGCCATCAACACTAGAAGCCCTCCCACTGTTGCCCCCCGCCCAGCACCAAGAATACAGAGCATCACTTGCCCCAGCCTGAGAGTTCCTATCTATACCTTGTGGCTAATAGCCACTGATGGACTTCCATATCTATATATCTAATAGCCAAGTTGCCCCCGTGAGTGTGGATCGCTAAATCCACACTCTGGGGGCACTTGGGGGGGAGGGGGAGGTTTGTGCACACGTGGGGCGGCCCCCACGTATGCACAAAAATCCAAAAAGTTGAAAAAAATTTCGGGGGGATGTTTAAATCCCCCCAAAAGTGACAGAGCGTCCCCTGCGCATGCGCAGGGAACGCTCTGTAGCTGGCCGCGCCGCCGCCTCCTCCTCCTCGGAGCCAGGTGGGCAGGCAGGGGGGAGGACCGGCCTCGCCGCCGCCGCCGAGCCCGGCAAAGGGGGGGAAAGGACTGGCCTCTCCGCCGCCGCCTCTGCCTCTGAGCCGGGCGGGGGGGAGTACCGGCCTCGCCGCCGCCGCGGAGCCCGGCCTGGTCAGAGCCGGGCGGGGGGGAACGGACTCGCCTCCGCCGCCTCGGAGCCGGGCAGTGGGGAGAGGACCGGCCTCGCCGCCGCCGCCTCGGGGAGATCGAGCAGGGGGGGATGGAGAAGACGGAGCTCTTCTCCCCCCCACGAGTATCGCGGGTCCCCCTCTTGTGCTTATCTAATTCCCTCTTGAAGCTGTCCATATTTGTAGCCGCCACCTCCTGTGGCAGTGAATTCCATGTGTTAATCACTCTTTGGGTGAAAAAATACTTCCTTTTATCTGTTCTAACCTGACTGCTCAGCAATTTCATTGAGTGCCCAAAAGTTCTTGTATTGTGAGAAAGGGAGAAAAGTACTTCTTTCTCAACCTGCTCTATCCCATGCATAATCTTATAAACCTCGATCATGTCACCCCCTCAGCCGTCGTTTCGCCAAGCTAAAGAGCCCCAAGCGTTTTAACCTTTCTTCATAGGGAAAGTGTTCCAACTCTTTTAACATTCTAGTTGCACTTTTCTGCACTTTTTCCAATGCTATAATATCCTTTTTGAGGTGTGGTGACCAGAACTGTACACAGTATTCCAAATGAAGTCACACCATTGATTTATACAGGGGCATTATGATACTGCCTGATTTGTTTTCAATTCCCTTCCTAATAATCCCCAGCATAGTGTTGGCCTTTTTTATTGAAGTTGCACACTGTCTCGACATTTTCAGTGAGTTATCTACTACAACTCCAAGATCTCTCTCTTGGTCAGTCTCTGCCAGTTCGGACCCCATCAATGTGTATTTATATTCAGGATTTTTGGCTCCAATGTGCATCACTTTGAACCCCATTTGCCACGTTGATACCCACTTGGCCATCCTCGACAGATACCTTTTGAGTGCCTCACAATCCTCCCTGGTTCTCACCACCCTGAACAACTTCGTATCATCTGCAAATTTAGCCACCTCACTGCTTATTCCCAACTCCAAATCATTAATAAACAAGTTAAAATTACTCAGCAAGGATGTTCATTGTGGGTTAAATAAGCAAGCCAATGTAGGTTTTGTACAATGTGTAGGTTTTTAGCCTTTTCTGTATTTCTTTCACTTGTCCAATCCATCTACAGTGTTTTATTAAATTTAATTTTAGTGGATAGCCAGGTTAGTCTATAGTAACAGAACAAAATTCTAGTCCAGTAGTACCTTGAAGACCAACAGGATTTTCTAGGGTATAAGGTTTTGCTAGTCAAAGCTCACTTCATCGGATAACTGACAAAGCTTATACCCTGGAAACATTCTTGGTCTTTAATGTGCTGCTACTGGACTCAAATTTTGTTCTTTTATTACACTCCAGTCATGTATGCCAGTGTGGTTTCATCTCTTTGCACTGCATGTGTAAAAGAGATGTGTGTGCGTGTTTATGTAAACATGGAGGATCTTATGTTAGGAAGATGATCAAGTTCTTTGAATTCCATAATAAAGAACAGAGCATATTTCAGTCAGGAATCCCTGTATCAAGCCAATAATATTTAATGTTTATTGTATTGTTGTTGTTTTTTCTTTGTTACATTTTGTATTGGGGAAAAGTCTTGTGCTAAAAATATTCAGCTACTAAATATTTTGTATTTTATGTGAAAACCTTTCACTCCATAAATATGTAGATTTATATTAGCCCAGCAATTACATTTAAAAGCATATGGATTTCATAGTCACTCCCCATTAACTTTATCTTTTTTCGAAGTAGAGGTTTGGTACAGAAACCTCTTCTTGATTTGCCCCTGGGAAATAAGAATTACAAATGATTGTTTATATGTTTTGGGTACACAGTGGGAAAACAAGGAAAAAAGGTATTGTAACTGCTCAGGAGGGTAGACTGATGATCAAACCAAAGGGTCTACCGAACCAGTTCTCTCCTGATGATTGCTAAAATATATATTAACTGAATGTTCTGTTCACCAGTTAAGGTCTTCAGCTCAAGCCTGTTCTCTATACCCCCACCCTTAAAGGTGATGTGAGTGGCAACTTGAGGGTTTTCTTGGTGGTGGCATTCTAACTTTGGAATGTCTTCCCCCTACAGGTTCACTTGGTGCCTAATTTATTGATATTCAGATGTTTTGTGCTTTTTGCTGTCAAGTCACTGCTGAGTTATGGTAACCTGGTAGGGTTTTCAAGGCAAGAAACGTTCAGAGGTGGTTTCCCATTGACTGCCTCTGTGTTGTGACCCTGGTATTATTTGGAGGTCTCCCATGCAAATACTATCCCGGACTAACCCTGCTTAGCTTATGAGATGTGATAAAATCAGGCTAGCCTGAACTATCCAGGCCAGGGCATTCTGATGTAGGCCAAAACATGGATGTTTTAATATTTTTATGGATTTTGTGGCCTGCATTCCAACTTGTTTCATATTGGTTTTAGCCTGCTTTTATGTTACATTTATGCTCTTCCTGCTACCAGGAGACTATTGGTTTTATTGACTGCTGTATTATTTCTTCTGCTGTTTGGGTTAATTTTATTTGGTTTGGTTGTTTAATTTTAATTTTTTAATGTTGTAAGTCACCTTTAGCAGTTTGCTGGAGAGATATCATATATATGTTTCCTAAATAAATAAATCCACTATAATGCAGACAAATATTTGGAAAATCATTAGAAAACAGATATTTAGTAGTAAGATGTAATGTGACACTTAAAAACAATTCATCTGATCATGAAACAATTACAGAATACCTAAGAGCCAGTGTGATGTGGCAGTTAGAATGTTGGACTAGGACCTGGATTCAAATTCTTACATTGTTATGAAACTCATTTGATGACTTCGTGCCAGTTACTTTTTCTCATCCTGACCTACCACACAATGTTGCTGAGGGGATAAAATGGGGTGGGGGACAACCTTGTACATTACCTTGAACTCCTTGGACAAAGAGTGTGATAAAAATATATAAGCAGATGGTAGGCAGTCTTTTAGGTTATGAGTGTTCTGTAGGCTTCCCAAGTCCCCCCGCCGGATCGGGCCCCGAGGGGAACTCCTCCCTGACGTGTGCGTCACCTGGAAGTGACGCGACCACGCCGGGCATGCTGGGGGCGGGGCCATGGCCATCCAAGGGAAAACTCTATGGTTTTCCCTTGTATGGCCGTGGCCCTGCCCCCAGCGTGCCTGGCGTCGTCATGTCACTTTTGGGTGATGTGCATGCAGTGTGTGCGTGCTTCGCATGCGCGCGCAACTGATACCAGCCGGGAGCCCCCCGCTCTCGGCGAAAATCAACTTAGCAACCCTAGTGTTCTGTCTTCTTGGAACCAACACTGGCTTTTCCAAATCAGGTGTTGCTGGTTGCAAATCAATGTCACAGGCTGCAGGTCAACTCATATTTGATTGACCAACTTTTATGAAGTCTTCTGAATTTCAGCCAATCTGTAAACTGCACACATGTTGAACGATTCATGGAACCATTGTAAGCACTCAGCATATTCAACCCAGGAGGACTCAACGTCAATAGAGACCAAAGGAGGGGGAGACGCATAAAAATGTTAATAAGCAGCCTCTTAAACTAAATATTTGAGAACAGAAAACTGTACCAGTGAGGTAAATATACTTATAACTAGGAAAAAGGCCCGTTGTGGAAATAAATACAACGGCCTCTAGAAAGAGGCTCTGGGCGGGTGCCCCGGCCTTGGACACTCAGTGTCAATTTGCTGTGGCGACCTCAGCAGGGTACAATGACACTGAGTCCACCATTTTCTCCAGAGGAACTGATCTCTGCTACCTAAAGAACAGTTGTAATTTTGAGTGATCTCCAGTCCTCACCTGGAGATTGGCAACGATGGTTCCCCAGAAGGGAATAGTTGGTTTGGAGGGTGGTCTATGGCTTTGTACCTGTTCGAGGTCCCACGCCTCCTGAAACCTCACCCTCTCCAGGCTCCATCCCTCACATCTCCAGGAATTTCCCACCTGGAGTTGGCAACCCTATCTCCTTCCCAGCCAATCATCAACCTACCTTTATTTCCCCCTCACTCTTCAGCTTTCCACCCCCCACACACCTGCAGCCTCTTCCGTGCTCTGAAGCCCTGACTTCTACGTCACATTGGCTGTCATGGGGGCCACCTCCGCAGCATATAAGGATACAGAGCCCACCATTTTCTCCAGGGGAACTGATCTCTGCTGTCTGGAAAGCAGTTGTAATTCTGAGTGATCTCCAGCCCTCACCTGGAGATTGGACACATTTTATCTCAGAAGAGCAAACTGTTTAGAATGTTAGAGGCAAAAGCCAATCAAGTCGCATATGCAAACGACGTCTGTGTTCCGAGGCAAAGGCCAATGAGGCTGCATATGCAAATAACCTCTGTGTTCTGACTGGCTATGGGGGGGAGAGGAACAGCAAAATGTTTAGAATGTTGGAGGCAGGACTCAGGCAAAGAAGCCAGTGGATAGGGAGACCCTCTGAATGACAGATCAGAGAGCGAACTGATTTTGGAGCGTGTGGAATGTTCTAGAGAAGTGCCACCACCATTCGGCTTTTATTTATAAGGGAGATAATAGATGTTGTTTCTTTCTTATTATCCAGGTGTCTTTCCAGAACCAATGACTTCTCCTGAGCAATATTCTGATGTATCCCCTTATTCACAGTACAACACTGTACATTTCTCTCCAGCGCAGCCTCCAGTCTCTTCACCTCCTTTTTACTCCAGCCTTGGCTTCTGTTCCCAACAGCCTGAAGAATGGTACTCACCAGTAATGTATGAACTCAGAAAAATTCCTTCTGATAACTTTTTCATAAAGGAGTCGGAAGCAGGAGGCATGCCTGTTGCCAAGAGGTCTCGGATGGGCCCTTCCTCAGGAAGAATGAAAGGCGAAGAGTTGTGTGTTGTTTGTGGGGACAAAGCCTCCGGGTACCATTATAATGCCCTTACTTGTGAAGGCTGCAAAGGTAATACATAATTTCAAACGGCTGAAAGTAGAGCATGAGGCTAATCATATGTGATATTCCATATTCCATCTTGATATCTCAGAGCAAGAGTAATTCATTCCTTAACACTGATATTATTTTCCAAAAGAATATTTTCCAAAAAGATATCAATACAATACTTATGTGTTTATTAAAATATTTATACCCCATTGTATTCCTCCTAAGAGGACCCATAGCAGCTTACAAAAGAGAATCCTTAAGCAATATGGATATACTCAGACAGAACAACTAAAACAATAGAACAGTATATAAACAGAATATAAGCAATAATTAAACCACAAAGTAGGTAATTTTTTTAATCTGGCAGTGAAATATTCAGCTTTAAATCTCTCCTTTCCCTTCCTTGATTCAATCTATGGAAATGTGCTAAACTCCTAGTGATTTATGGAACTAAAACTATGTGGCTGTGAGTGAAAGCACCAAATGATTTGCGTTTCAAAAGAGCTCTGTGTCAGTCAAATAGATTTCAAAGGATGGTGTACATAAGACATTTGAGATGAAACTTCCAATGGACATAGCAAAGCACTAGTTTTGTTGATCAAGGATGCCATTTTATTATTTTGTAAAAAAAAATTGCCACAGTCTGTTTTAAATCAGAGGCATGCCAGAGCCAGGAATTATAAACTGGATATAATTTAGGGACTTCAGTGTACAAAATTAAAGGCAATGTGGGGACAAACAACTGAAGTTCTTTCTTGTCCCTTGCGCCTTTTGAGTTTTCCACGGGTTCTGAACAGGTCCCCTTTCCCAATTCTTGGCAAGGGAAGGTGTTTGCTGTGGCCCAGCAGCCACAAAGTAATGTATGATATCTGTTGGGGCATTTAAATAAAGTAGCTAAGTGTAAATGTAAATTACAGATGTTAATTATTTGTTTCGAAGATTGTTTACACAACTGTACTGGCAGAATGCAGAGCTAGGCTTACACGTGCCTTTCTGTGGTGGGCAAACTCTAAAACCCACCCTCAATTGCTCAGGCTCAATCAGTTGAACAGAAGGAGAAAACTGGGGAGAATGATGTCCTGAATGCTGTGATGTCATTTCTGGGATCACCCAGAATTATCATCACAGTGTCTGTGATGTTCTCCCTCCCCAGGCTCCACCCCAATTTGTGGACAGATTTGAGGGTGCAGTGCTGGCAACCCAACTCATAGCAGAGGGGAGGAGAGCTAATCAGAAGAACACCTCATGCTTTTTTGTGTGTGTGGAAAGTCATGACCTACACATGGGCTGGGCATGCCTATGTATGGTATGACAAAGACAAAATACAACAAAATTTTCATAACCATATAATTAGGGGGGCATTAATGAAACATTGTTAACCAAAAACAATGAACTGAAATCGTTCAAAATATTAGAAACAATGAATATTAACGTTACTAATTGGGAAAAGTTACAGCTCCAATCAAGATTCGCCAAAGATAAAATAATGAATTTTGCTAAAACAAAATCAGAATTAGATAAAATATGGCTATCATCCTTGGATAAAATAATTCAAAAACTATATAATATTTTGTTGAAGGATGAGATGCAAGACGAAATAGTAAAACCATGTATGGTAACTTAGATGCAAGATCTAGGTCATAATATAAATACCGATGATTGGTCAAAAACGTCTCTCTTAAATTATTAAGATCTACGTCATATAAGGAAAATATATTTAAAATGTTCTACAGGTGGCTCTGGATGCCTGATAAATTATTTAAATGGTATAAGAATGTTTCAGAAAATTGTTGGAGGTGTAAAAATAATATTGGAACATATTATCATATATGGTGGAGGTGCGAGAAAATTTGTAAATTTTGGAAAAGCATAAAACAACTAATAAGTTGTAATAGAGATTACTGACATAGAATTACAGCTGATACCAGAAATATATCTGCTAAATATAATACCAGATGGAATTAAATGTGATGATCTATGTATTATTCTTGTATGTATATATTCTTACTATATCTAGAATACTCATTGCAAAATGTTGGAAAACTGATAAAATACCTAATAGTGAAGAGTTAATTATGAAATTTTTTGAAATAACAGAAATGGACAAATTAAATATGATACTGTCAGGGAAATATGAGAATGTGTTTCAAAAAAGATGGCAAAAAGTTAACAAATGGATTGCAAAAAATGTTTAATATAAGCTCCAAAAAATGATTCTCATATACCATGTATAGCTTTTCTTTTTTGCAATGAAAAAAGGATAAATAAATAATTAAAAAGAAGAAGAAGAAGAAGAAGACCTTATGCAATATGGCTGCCTGAGGGCCTCTATCAAGATTGGTTCAGTTACGTAACCTGTTCCTAGCCACCCCTCCTAGGTACAGGACCTAGCCACTAACTGACTATGGCAATATAGCCTGCCTGCAAATCTACAGATACTTAAAGATCCGAGAAGGAAATCTGAGCAACACAATGAGAAATATAGATATTTGTTGTTTGTTTATTTGTTTATTTGTTTCTAAGTATAAACAGGTACTAATTAGATAATAGGGAAAGTGTATGTTTAAAGAGCATGTAATCAAAAATTAAATTTCCAGATGGTTCCCTCACCACTTGTATCATTACTTAGGCAGTTTTGGTATTGTTGATAGGTGAAGGTCTGTTTGTGTTGTCCTCAGTAGTAGCTTATTTTGCGCATTTGTTCTCCCCTCCGGTCCCTGTTCCAAGTAAGACGTAAGATCCATTCTCCCCTCACTGGCACTTGCTTCCATGTAAACGTGCACAGGTTAAATGATTAATTGACTGGCTCCTCCCACTTTAATGGCTGAGGGTGATTCTTTGCTCCCATTCCTTCCTCTGTTTCTCTTGCTGACTGCTGCTGCTGTGCTTCCTTTTCCCTCACCAAGGGCTACAGTTCTTAAAGCAAATAAATACACACGGCCCAACGTAGGATGTGCAGAGCTACATTTGTTTACTGATTCACCAGACAGGGTTCCAGACTTATGGCCCAGGATCCAGGTCTTGGCTCCTTAAGGCTCTATCTATCAAAGAGTAAGGGCAAAACAGGGCTGTCTGCATAAGGGCAGCATGATACAAAGCAGACTCTCCTGGCACTCAAGGAGCACTCAGCACAGCTTCTGTTTGAGTGTTGCCTTTGCAGTCCCACATTTCAAGCACAGAGTGGTGAGATCAAAGGGAGCCAGAATGTGGTAACTGCATGTGAGCTCCATTGGCTGGGGAGCTATATTCCATCACAGTTAGGATTGATTGACGTCGCAGCCACTTCCACTAACAAACATGCAAAGTAATCCACAGTAAATATGTTTGGAAACTTACTCCCTAGTAAGTGTGCTTAGGATTGCAGACTTGGTTGGCACATCTGTGTGCACTGAGTCTCTTTATTAAGATAAATGGAGTGCAGGAACTCTATAAGAACAATTGGACAGATATGCCAGTTATGACTTCTAAAAGCCTTTCATGGCCTAGGACTGAGGTTCACCAGGTCTCCTAGTTGTTGTATGCCAGTGCCTGAAATCAGGCCCATAGCCAGGATTTTGTAATTCAGGGGGGCACTGATGTTACAAAATAAAAAGTAAAATAAAAATAAAATGTTGAAAACTCACTTTTACAGCGTTCGCACTCTGCTTGCTTACATGGGGAAGCAAGCCATGCTAGGGGAAGGGGCGATGGTGGAGAGACCTCCAGGTGGCCCAGAGAGTTGGGATTCCTCCGGGTGGCCCAGAGTGCCAGGGGGCCTGGGGTCTGGATGGAAGTCGGGAGGCCTTGACAGAAAGTCAGGGGGCCAGGCCCTGAAATGCCCCACTGTAGCTACAGGCCTGTCTGAAATGCAGGCTGGAAGAAAGTGGGGGGAAATGGGGTGCATGCCAGCACTGAGCCAGAGCACTGATGTCATTTCTGGTGAAACCCAGAAGTGATGTCATGATACCGGGGGGGGGGGGGCTCTAGGATTTGCCAAAAACTCTCTGGTTTAACCAGTGTGATGCCAGCATGCCTGTTTCTGCCCTTAAATGCTCCTAGGGGTTGCAGGCAGTAGCCTGACAACCCTACTTAGGGCCCACATAGCTGAAGGCCTGTCTCTTCCCATATGTCCCTGTGAGCCAATTATGATTCTCTAGGTGTCATTTTCTTGTTTTCTCACTTAAGGTTGCCTGTCTGGCCACTAGAGACAGTTCCTTTTCCATTATGGCTCCCACTGGGTTCTCTGAGGAGGTAAGAAAGGTGCCATCTTTATAAGTTTTTAAGAGGCACTGTAAGAATAACTATTGACTAGGGCTTTTATTGAGGTTGGAGCTGCAGGAATTTTCAAGGGGGTTGATGGAGTTTTATTGCATTACAGATTATTTTAATTTAGAATCATAACCCCCCCTGTGCAACAAGGAAAAGGTGGGGATCATTAAAAAATAAATAGGGAGTTTGGACCAAGTCAGTATGGAATAATTGTCATTGCTTAGCATAAGTGACACATATGATTGTGCATTATAGCAACAAACTTTCTATCAGAAAGAAACAAACATCTATGCAATGCTTGTATCAATATATTTATTGATTATTTATATTTATACCCAAAAGGCAGATTACAACTAATGCAAAAATGTAACTGCATTAAAAATGACACTCTAAAACGTCTGTAGAATTGACATACTTGGCTTCATCACAGACAAATCCTTTACAATCCATAAAATGTCCATACAAATCAATAAAAAGCAATTTGTGAAAAACTGCCTTTCCTTCCCTTCCCTTCCCTTCTGTACCCTGGAAGTCATGGTGCCCTCCTGACCTCCTCAGGCAAACTGTTATGTAAGGTTGGATCCATAACTGAGAAAACCCAAGCACAGACTGAAGATGAACAAAGGCTCCTGGTAAGTGGTACAGTAAGCAGAGACCACCGAGAGGATCACAGTTGTCCCATGGGATCACATGTGGAGAGGTGGTCCCTCATATGAATGCATTGTGGGGTTTATTTCTGAAAACAAAAATTATTGTCAAGATAACCTCCTATCCTGCGTATATCTCTGTTAATTCATTAGGATTCTTCAGAAGAAGCATCACCAAAAATGCTGTATACAAGTGTAAAAATGGAGGGAACTGTGAGATGGACATGTACATGAGAAGAAAGTGTCAGGAGTGTCGTCTACAAAAGTGCAAGCAAGTGGGAATGCTGGCTGAGTGTATGTATACAGGATTACTATAACAACATATATGAAACATATTCTACAAATGTTAAGTGTCATATTCATATTGCTTAATATGCTCCATCTGAGTTGAGAAATCTGTGTAACCTATATAATGTAGTTAATTCTTCGTACATTTGTAGAGGCTGGGGAAAGACCATTATACCCCACGTTATGGAATGTAGGCTGCAAATGAGTACAGTTCAAAATGTTACCTTGGGCATATCTAAGGGCATATCCAGACCAAATTTTCCACCAGCAGAGAGGAACTTTCCTCCCCCCCCCCTGCAGACCACTGATCTCCACAAAATGCTTCTCCTGGGGGATAGGGGACTTTGAGGAATGAAATGGGAGGGGGTGCAGCAGGAAGGAGGAATCAATGAAAAATGCCAGCTTAGTCCCAGTAGGGTTGTGAACCTCCAGGTGGCATCTGGAGATCTCCTGCTATTACAACTGAATTCCAGATGACCAAAATCAGTTCCCCTGGATAAAACAGCTGCTTTGGAGGGTAGAGTTGATGGTATTATACCCTGTTGAGGTCCCTCCCCAAACCCAATCCTCCCCAGGTTCCACCCCCGAAATCTCCAGGTATTTCCCAGCCCAGAAGTGGCAACCCTAAACCCCAACTATACAACATCTACAGGAAATACAACTGAAAAGCCCGAATCATGATGTTTTATTTAATGGACTGAATACCTCTGCTCACTTTCCTGTAAAATGTTCCTACAGAGTTGAGAAACTAAATTAAGAAAGATAGTAGCAACATGCCAGTTCTAAAGAATGTAGAAAAGCAGATGGTTCATGACAGAAGAATTGTTGAAGAGCATCTTCTTTAAAGTTTTCGTCAGTTATCATAACCTGTTATAGACCACATTACCTGAAGGGCACTTAAAAGATGATCTGTGTCTTGGTAGGCTGCGGTTGTGGGAAACTCCGTGCGAGGCCTGTAAGACTTTTCTCCCCTAAAATTATTCAGGTATATTGTTAATGAAATTAAATGATACACAAACCTACATTTACAGTGCTTTGTTGTGTTTTCTCCCCTGCTGTTTACATACTTTGGAGAAAGAGCCTTATATTGCTACACACAAATCAAGGACCACTGGTACAATTTCAGTCAATCAATTAATCAATCAATTTATTGTGTTTAGCCATAGGCCATCACAAAGTTACAGAAACCACCACCAGTACAAATTTACAGATATACAAAGAGAATTCCACCAAACAAAAGTTAGTTAGTACCAAAATTCAAGATGCTACAATACACATCTGCTAGTTAAGAGCCAGCTGATTTGCCAGTCCTATTGGGACCATGTAATAAAATGTTGACCTTGGTTTTCTGTCACATTTTATACTTCTTTAACTTTATCCTTGAGTACAGAACATATTTACTACTTCTGTATTATATCCTGAACTAAGCAGTTATACACACACTCTTTATTTTCTCAAGAAAACAAAAGGTGGGATACAGAAAGGAAGAAGGGGAGGGGGGAAATATAGATTCATCAAGTTTGTTAAATATTATGGATTGCCACAAACAACAAGTAATAAAAGATGTATTAGCAAATGTATTACATAAGTTATATACGCACTCTTGTTAGTTTAACTGTAGCTATGAGAGCTATAGTTGGACTTCATTTAAAATTCCATTTCTCAACATACATTTCTTTTTGTAAAGCTGCAGGGCTGAGACTAAAGCGGCAGCTCGTATTCCTTGTTGATGGTTCCAATCATCTTAGCATAACTGTGGTGTCAAACCAATTTAGGTTCATACCGGAAATTAATCTACTGTGAGTTTTTAATATACTTCTATCCTCCAATCTGATTGTGAGATGCTATATTAACTGTTAGGCTCTGCAGAAAACAAAAGCCTCTGTCAACGTTTGGAACTCATGCAAGAATTATAATATAATTAATCTTTCATTTTGTACATTTAACAGACCACAAAGATTTTGAGATATGCCCTATTTCCACTCACAGTATAAATGTGCAAACAAATGTTGCCAAAGTGATAATAAAACTCAAGGCGTTGCATGAAAATAAACCTCCATGTGGGGTAAACCCAACTTCATATTTTCCAATAAGAGACAGAGAAAATGTTCAGGGCAGCAACAGACCTAGTAACTAATAATAGAATAAAGCAGGAAAAAAATAGGTCAGTGTAAAGAATACTGACCAAGGATACCGGAAACTTTTAAATCAGCTGATCATTTTCTCAGATTGACCTACAAGGAACAAAGGCCAACAATAGGTGCTGCCATTCGAATCTTCCTCTGCAATGGAAACCTGTACTTTGTTACTATGAAGCTCATATAACTCATAACTTAAACATAAGCATGTCCTTCTAAAGTGCAGCAATGAGGATATTTTGCAAGCTTGTTTGCTTAACAGCTCTCAAACAAGGAGTGGTACTATATACTTTTTGCAGTGTTTTTTTTTCTTCTAAAAAAATTCAAGGTTGGCCAGAGCAGTTAAACTTGAAGCTCCTATTTATAATTTGACATTAAGTAAAGAGGTATCTGAAATTCAAGCTACCTTGGACTTTGCTTCATTTACACATAGTACAGTGTTGTAATTATTCCTTTGGAATTTCGCTATACTGCAAAAAAGAAAGGGCAATCTTATAACTATTTATGGCTTTACTCATGGGCTGTTGATTCAGCATCTATTTCAGGTAGGATTGCCAAAACTGGGTTGGGAAATCCCTGGAGATTTGCAAGTGGAGCCTGGGGAGGGCAGGTTTGGGGAGGTGAGGGATCTCAGTGGACCATAATGCCATACAGTCCACCCTCCAAACTCACCATTTTCTCCAGGGGAACTGATCTCTGTTGTTTAGAGATCAGTTGTAATTCTGGGAGATCTCCAGGCTCTTCGTGGAGCTTGGCAGCCTTCATTTCAGACACATATCGTTTTGTGTGCATAAAAATACAGGGGGGGTTTCTCAGAGCATGCGGTCTTGATTCAAAGAATTTGATTATGAAAACCTCTGTTTTGTAGGTATTTCTCAAATGTTATAGGAAAGACAAGTTCCCTTTTGCCTACTGTGTGTCTTTCCGCTACCATTGTAATGTGTGGATAGATAATAGATTCTGAAGCTATGAAGTAGAGGTACAATTGGTCTGAGGTGCTGTGTATGTGAGCTTAAGAACTTCTCCCACACATGACATTTTTTACTGCAGAAGTATATGATGGATAGACAGGCACTTGATTGTCCTATAAGATATGGCCATCATATTGAGCAGTACTTTTTATTCATATTGGGTTAAAAAGAATCATACCAGTGCTGAAAATCATTGCAATTTCTAGTGTTTGCATGATTATCAAATATACTATTTTACTCCTACAAGATATTATGTGGAACAGTTATTTTAATCCTGTAAATTTCCTCTTCTTTCAGTGACAGAGGAAGCTTCTTTTATATGGCGCATAATTTTATAATATACAGGATATTAAAAGCATTCACCACTGAATTAGGCATTTTCATGATATCTTTTTCAGCGATATCTTGCCTCAGAAAGATACTATTTTCTTGTTCTCCAAGCTCAAAAGTAGGGACCTCACGTGACCCTATTCTGGAGAAAAAAAACCCTCCTATTTTAATTTAAGTTGATACGATGGCTGTGTCCTTGGATTAACATTTACCTGCTTCTCCACTGGTCTGCAACAGTACAGTGTTTTTTTTAAGTTAAAGCAGATCTTATTCCTGGAACACACTAACGAAATGCAATATTCCATAATTAAAAATCCATAGGATATAATACTATTTATATTTCTGAATAGTAAAAACATGTTATTATCTCTGAACTTGCATGTAGATAAGCTCTTCGGTAGATAAGTAGATAAGCTCATCAGACGTCATTCACAGGAATGTCTATTAAAATAATGCATGGATCAGCTAATTAATTAATGTATTTATTTATCAAATTTATACCCCGCCCTCTCTGCAGAGCAGGGATAATGGTATCTATCTTAGTTCAATAGATAGTTCAGTGATATGTTCTGTCCTTTTAATTTGTTTTTACAAGAGAGCAGCCTTCAAGTTCCAGTGTTTTGATGTAAGTAGATGTAGAGTGATTGGAATGAATTTGCACCTCCTCCTCGTCATTGAACATGAAACACAGAATCATATCCTGAATATTCACATCAAGTTTTATTGCCCTATTATAGTGCAATCCTAAATTACACTCTTCTAAGACCACTGAATTCAACTGCACTGTGACTGCGTACTTAAGTCTATTCAATAAGGCTTACTCTTGAGAAAGTGTTCTTATGATTCCACTGTAAATTACAAACCTTCCCAAAAGCCTTTTTGCTCAGCCGATCAACAATAGTCCTTTGCATATCACCAGCTTTCTACTATTTGTTCTGTAACTACAAAGTACATGGAAAAGCAGAGATATATTAGATAGCATGTGAATAGATTTTGTCCCTCATCTGTATCACCCAGATGCTGAAGAGTCATGGGTACAAATTCTGTTTGTTTATTATATGCAAAATTTCAGGTTTGCTAACAGAAATACAGTGCAAGTCAAAACGGTTAAGAAAAACTATACCACAACCTCCAGACCAGACAATCGGTGAAGATAATGAAGGACCTGATTTTAAGCAAGTCTCATCTACAACCAAATTCTACAGGGTAATAAAACTATTGTAATATCTTGCACACTGCAGCTTTGTGTAATCTGATACTCTATTGAACACAGAAGATTATATGACAATAAATACACATTAGTAACTTGCAGCAATTTCATAGATGAGATTGAATTTGTAATCTTTCGTGCAGATAAACAGATATGCTGTTTGGCAGATGACACTGAAAGTGTGGTCTCTGTCTATTCTATGAGCTCTGCTTTATGAGTACATGATTTGCATAGTATACATGAATGTGGCAAAGAAGTCTTGTGAATGGCTGTCAGATGAAATATCAGTTTATGAAAGAATAATATCATCAGCAGTTAAGGCTTGTGATACTGCTCTGGAGCTGTAGTAGTTGTAGTCCATTTTAAGCATTCATTTGCCAGCAGAGCTTTTTTATTGTAGCAATATGTGTTTTTAAGGTTTCCCCTCTTCTCATATTATCAAATATTGGTTAATATTATCTAGCGCTAAGGCTTTGGAAAGGTAAGAATAGTATAAAGGGTCTGGGTACTTTGTAAAATGAATGTATGCCAGAAATATTATATAAGTCTGGATTATATCTTTTTCAGGTTTGTATACATACACAAATAAGGAAAACTGTTTCTATTGTTCAAATCAAACTATACCTAAATAAGAGGTAGGGAGTCACCTCCATTTACTGAAGCTTATGGTTAATTTTTATTGCCAGTACAGGAGAAAATAGAACTAACCCCAGAACAGCAGAACCTTCTTCAGTATATCATGGATTCATATAATAAACAAAGAATTCCTCCTGAGGTTTCTAAAAAGCTGGTAAATATACAATTTAATACAACAGTTACCTAAATATTTCAGAGTCTATTTTTTTCCTTCTGCTTTTGTGGCTTTTGTTCACTGCAAACAATGGAACAGACTCATCTGCTTGCTGTACTTTCCATTTGCATGGCCAGACACACTTACCCACACATTTATACGTTTAGCCTAGCATTCCATCAACTAAGAAACTCTAGTGTTGCATGCTGGTTAAAAGAAAGTATAATTAAGTCAAGCATGGATAATTCCAAAAAGGCATAAATTCAATAAGCCATCTGTTCAAAACTCCCTCTAGCTTCTTACAACCTAATGGGAGGAGCAGAAGGCCCCTGGTTGGTGTGCCTGAAGTGGCAAAAGCTTTCACACCTTGTGCTCCATAGACAGCAGGATTGAGCCTCTTGCTTTCTCTTCTTGGATCTGAGTGAAAACTAGCAGATCTCCAGCCACCTTAAAATACTCAAGAACTGCTATCTTCCCTGACAATTTTGTTTTCTCTTTTCTGATGCCTAGAATAATTAGTTTTCTTGTGCTTTCATACTCTCTATCAAATTATGACCTTCAACTGAATGTTTGGTCACTCACTTTGATACTTTTTCAAGCACCCACAGAGCAAGCAGTGGTTTACTACAACTGTTCCTATCACTTTACAACTAATAATAATAATTCTGTTTTAATGCTCAGTTACAAGAGGAATTCAGTGCTGAAGAAAATTTTCTCATCTTAACAGAAATGGCCACCAGTCATGTACAGGTCCTTGTGGAATTTACCAAAAGGTTACCAGGTATGATGTGTAAAATACATTTGACCACCAATGTTTTAGTTAGAGAAGCTAACAGCTCTGTACTTTCATAAGAACATAAGAAGAAGAACCCTGCTGGATCAGACAAGTGATCCATTTAGTTCAGCAACCTGTGTCACACAGTAGCCAACCTGTTCCTCTGGAGGGCGAACAACAGAGCATAGAGGCTGCAGCCTTCCCCTGATGTTGCCTCCTTTACTGCCTCTGAACATGGAGGTTCCCTTTAGTCGTCAGATTCCCTTTAGTCACAATGGCAAATAGCCACTAACAGAACTATCCTTTCTTCCCTGAATCTGTCTAACCCCCTTTTAAACCTGCCTATGTATGTGGCCATCATTACATCCTCTGGCAACGAACTCCATATTTTAATCATTTGCCGTGTAAAGAAGTATTCCTTTTGTCCATCCTGAAATCTACTGCTCATCAGCTTCACTGGAGGCCTTTGAGTTCTAGTATGTTGGGAGAGGGAGAAAAAGTTATATTGATATGCCTATTGCAGTAGAGCTTATAATGTATAGAACTGTTTCCTTTACCACCTAAGGGGGTGGGGGAGACCAAACCTGATGTTACTATATGCATGAATTTTCTATGGTGACTTGCAGCTAAACTGCAGCTGCAAGTCCCGGTGACAACTCCTGTGTAAAAATCAAAGACAGACCCCATTCTGGTCAGCACCATGGCATGGGGAGAGCAGAGGCGCCTGCCTTTCCCCGTGAACTGTTTTTGGCAGTCAAAATGACCTAGGTGCTGAAAGGTTGGTGTTATTCTCTTCAGAAGGCTGAAAATACATGTGCATCCTCCTGACAGAGTGCATCATGATCCCCACAGCCCCCAGGTCATTTTGGCTGTCAAAACAGCATGGGAAGGGGAGGCAGGAGGCCCTCTCTCCCCATACCATGGTCCTGACCAGAATCAGGCCAATGTGCAGTTTTTTCACAGGAATTGCCAGTAGGACTTGCAGCTGCACTTTGGCTACAAGTCACCATGGGAAACTCATGTAAAAAGTAACACTTAGTTTGGCTCTCAATTAATCAAGAACGGAAGTTTTTCTCAAGATTTAGAATCACATAATCCTTTATACAGAAGTTGAAGAACAAGGGTGCTGTCTTTATTAGTATTCGAGTGGTTGTTTAATTTTAATTTATTCATTGTTGAAAATAAATGTGAGATATCTTTCCTCTTTTTGGGTTGTTTTCTTAAAAATTAGCTTTCCCACAATAGATCTCACTCTGCAAGCAGGCTGCAAAAAGTAATATTTCAGCAGTGGGCAGACTGGCCATTTAAGTTACTGGAAAATTTCCTGGTGGGCCACTGCCCTAGAGGGCCACTGGAGGCCAGGTGCAAGCATATTTATGATCTAGCAACTCTGCCAGAGCCTCAGGGGCAACTTGGCTCAGACCCTTCATCAGTAGTGGTCATTGATGTCAGTTCACCAATGGTCTTTCCCTGCTCTGCTGCTCGTTTTCAAGAGGAAGCAGTGGGTGAGCTAAAGGCAATTAAACTAATGACCATCAGTACCGTGGCTCTGACTTCTTCAGTACTGAATCACAGAAAGCTCCCTTGAAAATTAGAACCAGTCTTTTCTTTCAGCAGTGGAATCTAAGAACACTTGTAGGCATCCAGTAAAAACATCTTTCCTGTTTGGAGGTTAGCTGACCCTTGTAACATCATAACACAGTACATTCTGTGTCACATACATTCAGATGGGTTGTCTTTGATAGACGCAGCTCTTTTTTCTAGACCAATCAGCAAGAATTTGTTTATGAGTCTGTTACCTCCAGTTGTTATAGAAATTATGCAGGTAACCTATAACCCATGCACTGCAGCTATCTTTTTTCTGTGATCTGGGACATTTGGGCACAGGTCAGAAAGGTGTGATCAGTGGAAAGTGTCCCTTGTGGTACCTTTCAAACAATAAACAATTGTATAAACACACAGATCACTATGTATACACATGTTCTCTCCACCACATGCTTTTCTATTTTTAATATAGTTTTATATTAAAGCCCTTCTCATGATTCCCATTCTTTTCTTTCATGTAAGTGAAAGAGAAAACAATCGGAGAGCAGAGCCAGTGGGCAAATGTACGAGCTGGAAAGTGCTCAATTGAGCACTGAAAGATGAGAATGCAACCAGCGCTCCATTAACACTGAAGCAGGAATTTAATTTGTAATATGCTAATCAAGTTGAAAGTAACCATCCTGTGATTTGAAATAAGATTACAAGCACATGCATGTGTGACAAGCTTGAATGGATTTTCTTGCCTGGCAGCTTGAGAAAGAAAACAAACACACACACTTCAGATTCAGCCACCTAGGCATGAGCCAGATCTGTAAATGTATATCCATTTTTATTTATATAAAGTGTTGTTCTCCCTACCGATGGGGTTGTACTGTTTTTACTTGCTGCCTCTGCATTACCTGATGAAGTAAACTTTATCTTATTAAAAAAAAAAAAGCTTATACCTTGGGAAATTGTGGTGGTCTTTAAGGTGCCATTGGGCTTGAATTTTGTGCTAACTCTGTGGTAGAAATTGCTGGGAGAAAGAGTGACAACTTAATTTTATTCCAGGTTTTCAGACCCTTGACCATGAGGATCAGATTGCTTTGCTAAAGGGTTCGGCTGTGGAAGCCATGTTCCTTCGGTCAGCTGAGATCTTTAACAGAAAACTTCCCGTAGGGCATGCTGATCTCCTAGAAGAAAGAATTCGTAACAGTGGTAGGTACCATAGATGACTAGCCGAAGGAACATCACTAGTTCTTGAAATGCCAAGCAAAAATGCACACTACATGAATGTCACTCTTCTAAGTTTTCATTAGCAAACCAGCCAGTCAGCCTTGTGTGCCTTGCACACGAAAGCTCATACCCTGAATAAACCTTTGTTGGACTTAAAGGTGCCACTGGACTCTATACTTGCTCTACTGCTTCAGACCAACACAGCTGACCATCTGGATCTATCTTGAGTCCAAAGCATTAATCATAAAAATAAAAAGGTTTAATCATAAAAATATAGTCCTTGTGAATAAAACTATTTCATTATAACCTATTATATTTATTCAAGGATCAACATAAATGAATTAGGGCAATGAAACATGTTTCTATCACATTATTGCATCTCACCCACTTCTCACCCAATTCTGTTATCACAAATGATGTAACAACAATAGTACAAGGTTTACCCGTCAGTAATGTGTACATATGAGAAGGGAAACCTGCTTCTGGGCAAAAGGGCTCTGCAGATCATAATGTTTGGGTAGAAGCATTCTTTATAGATTTGGCTTCATAGTCTTTTAGGTTTCTGCACCAGCATACAAGCTGCATTCTGTCAGCTCAACTTGAGCATCATATCCTAAATTTCTATTTTAAAAAGTTTTAAAACTACAAGTGGCAAGCAGTAGCAATCCAAAGCTTTGATATCTGTCCAGCAGTTAACAAGTATGCACTGTCTTCCACCCTAAAAGCAGTGATCATACATCCCACTCTTTGTTATGTGTTATAAGTTATTTAATTACTGAAGTTAAAAAATGTGTTCCATTAGGGAGACCATGGCCTGTTGCTCTGCAGACTAGGCCCTTCTATACTGAAGGGAAAAGTCGAGAAAAGTAGAGGGGGGGGGAGAAGAAATGTGAAGGAAAAAACAGAGCAGGGGCTATAAGAGGGACTAGGTTGCCAGGTCCTCCCTGGCCAGTGGCAGGGAGTGGGGGGTAGGGTTGCCAGCTCCAGGTTGGGAAACTATTGGTGATGTGGAGGTGGAGCCTGAGATGGAAAGGGACTTCAGTGGGGTACAATACCATACAGTCTACCTCCAAAGCATCCATTTTCTCCAGAGGAAGTGATTTCTGCAGTCTGGAGATGAGCTGTAATTCCAGGGAATCTCCAGGTCCCACCTGGAAGTTGGCATTCCTAAGAGGGACAGAAGACTAAAACCTGATGCTAATAATCCTACCTTGTGTCATCTCCTTGCCTGCATTAAGCTACAAAACTACTGTACAATGTAGTTCCTTTTCTTACCTAAACATTATGAAATGACTCATATTCTTTGTTAAATTTTTTCTCTCCAGTGTGTATCCTTAATATTTATTTCCTTTCCATCTAGCTGGCTTAATTAAAACCCAAACGATAATAGTCTCTTACAAAAAGAAACAAAAGACTCAGGCTGCTTAGCCACATCACATTCCATTTTTTTCATAATACAATGAATTATAATGACTATATTAGTTTAAAAGACATATTGGAAAAAATCCTAATCTTTCACAAAAAAGTAGATATGTATCTCACTGGTCTGAGGTAAGGTGATTTTATGGAAAGGTGACTGTCAAACTGTCAGCAAGGACTGATTGTCAGTCTTTGAAAAATGCAACCACAAAAGATGCAAATAAAACGTCTAAAAATCACAGTGCTGTTCATTCTTTTGTCACCTTTCACAATGCTGGTCCTGAAATGCCTGCCCTGTCTGAACATTTATGATCTCCATCTTCCTATCCTGACTATTTTGCATTTGAATTTTTGCGCATGACAAAGGAACCACAGTGATCCCGTGACGATGACCTTTCAGCACATTTATTCCTATTCTGATGCAGAATTGGCTTTATTTGCTAACGCAATAATATTGGCCAAATGGCTTGTGACATATAATACTATCTTGTTTATAGACTTGAATTATTCTGCATAAACTGTCAGGAAAATTCTTTGTATAGATGCGTCTGTGTTAACACAAAGACCGTCATGAGTCCCAGGAACTACGCAATTATAGAACCCCTTACATTGTTCCCACAATAAAAGCTTCATTGTTTTCACCAGAATTCACAAAACAGAAGCTAGATTACATCATGGGCAAGAAAAAGATTAAATATATCAATAATTGTATTCCTAGTTTAATTCCTTCATTAGCTCAATGTAGTGAATTTGTTTCCAAAGCCTTGGATTATAGTAGCAAATAGAATGAATAAAGAATTTCAAATATAGTACTTTTTTTGCAAAGCATTTGCAAAACAACTCTTTGGGGGAACCACTTCTTTATGTAGGAAGATTATGTTTTATAGCTCCTCATGGAAAGTGTGAAGAGCAATTTTAAAATAAATGCTCTGATGAAGAGCTGTCCCTTTGAAACACGTGGGGGCAGGGGGAATCTACCAAAGAGGTGTCTAACCAAATCAGATTCCCCTATTTGTTGGTGCCCTTTTGTGCTCAGTGTGAATCTGGGACAGGCCATGTGCTCAGCCGATGAGGGCAAATGGAAGGCCACTTCATTGGCCAGGCAACTTGAGAAGGCATAGGTGGGTTTAGTTCGAAACTTTTTAGTTATATTGTTTTTAAAAGTTAAATGGGAGTTTCTAATGAATATGTCTGAATTGGGAAAACACTACTGATAGATTAAGATCCAGTGAAATAGACAATAATATAATGAGTAATTAATATGATTATTCCTCAGTAAAACAAGAGCTCATTAATGTTTGAGTTAATATCCACCGGCAGCTTCAAACCTATCCAGATGAAAGATCTCCTCATCCATATTAACAACAGTCTTGCTCATAATTAATTAGTACAAAAGTCTCCCTCACAGCTGTTCTTTTTTTTAATTTAAACAACTAACTGTACTAAGGACTGTATCTACTAGTACATAAATCTAATACTGATTATGGAAGAAGGAAATTAAAATAGGATGCATAATAAATAGCAGAGATAAAGCTGACTTGAATCATAGGAAGATAGTAAAATGCAATTTACAGCTCCCTTAATTGAAGCTACACACAGAGATGTCACTCTCATTGGGCTTATCATATTACCTGCAGTCTTGTGGAGTTCTCATGAGTTTCTTTGAAGAAATTATTTTCTACAGATGGAAAAACAGTATTGTATATCCAACCCAGAAAGTGGGAAGAGTCTTCAGGCTGTAGTTTAATGCTGTTTAAAAAGACAACATAAAATATATAGAACTAAGGGCCTAGTGTTTATTTGTGTGTGTGTGCGCGCATATGCTTGCATGCCTGGAAGTCATGGTGATGTCTGGCAACCCCTAGTGGGGTTTGGGTGTTTCAGAGAGGTGGCTTACTATTGCCTGCTTCTGCATCCCGAGCCCTGGTATTCCTTGGCGGTCTCCCTTCCAATTACTTGCCAGGATCAGCCCTGCTTAGCTTCCAAGATCTGACAAGATCGAGCTTGTTTATGCTATCCAGGTCAGGACAAGGGCCTAGTATTATATTCTGTTTAATCCAGGTGTCTGATGACCTATACCAATCCAGAGTTAGAAGTTTCCGCAAGAGCTGCTTGAGAAGGCAGAAATTCAGGCAATAAATCTAATGGAAGTCTAGGGATAGGACTGATGGGAAGAAGGGGCAGAGTGGCCATTTAATTTTCAGGGAAATTACATGGTGGGCCACTGTACTGGAGTACTACTGGATCCAGGAACAAGTAGAATCAAATCCCAGTAGCTCTTATAGTACTGCAGGGGCTGCTCAGCGTATGTACTTATTTAGAAAATGCACACACCACCGCTCCATAGATCTGCTCTATGCAGCTCATAAAGCAAACACACCACAAACTCATTTAAAAAATTACCTATAATAAGGGAATAATAAAAAACAAACAAACATGCAAGGGGCATAAAAGTAGCACTAAACAATTTTCAACACTGTATAACAGTATATTCACAGTCCACAGGCTAGAAGCAGACCATAAAAGCAACTTTAAAAAAATGACAAAACCCCAACCCCTCACCCAAATGCCTGTATAAAAAGAGAGGTTTAGGGTCCATGGGGTCGTGAAGAGTCGGACTCGACTGTGCGACTGAACAACAAAAAAGGGTTCTTTTATTCTACCTCTGTAACATTACTATTCCTGCTAAGCTGTGCTTTTCAGACTCCATTCTTCACTAGCCACAGCAAATAACATACAGCACTGGCTCACAAATTATCTCAATAATACATCAGAGCCAGGGCTTTTTTTTTCTGGGGGAACACACCGGAACAGAGTTCCAGAACCTCTTTGACAAAATTCTTTTTAAAATGTTTAAAAGTTCATGAATTTTCAATATACAGACTGAAAACTTAATTTCCCTCTTGTGAGTTCTGGCACCTCTTTAAAAAAAAAAAAAAGCCCTGATCAGAGCCATGTGGAAGGTAATGTTGCATGATGCATGATTTTGTGTAGAAAAGAAAAGCTTGTATAAGATCAATCTAACAGGCTAATAGGTCCTCAAAACTGGTTCCTTCGTCAAGGGAGCCAAAGAACAGCTAACTCAGTCATTTGGGACGACTCTTTCAGCCTTTCCTTTTCCTCCTTACATGGACAATATATGTGGCACAGTAGTGATGTGAATCAGACATCATGAATGCAAACTCCTGCCTTGCGCCCCTTGAGCTATGTGAAAGAACATCCCAGTTACTCATGTGCAGACAAGAAGTATTAGAAGATCTGCATAATTAATTCACCAAATAATTCATACAAGAAGTATAAAAAAAATCTGGAAAGTGGGTGTATGAATTGGACTTGCATTGCCATATATTCTAAGAATGTCTTATTTATTTATTTATAAATTATAGTTCTAGACTGCCCTCCCCTGTAAGACAGGGCTCAGGGTGGTGTACAGCAATAAAAACATCTATAAATTAATCAACAATTAAAAACAGTTTACAGCACCTACGGAGGTTATTATTAAGCTGTGAGTTAAGATACAGCACTTAAGGAGGTTATTATTAAGCTGTGAATTGTGCTGATGT